TGCTACTCGCCTTCCAGGATGGGGACCGCGTGATCCTCCTTGTGCCTGGTTGGAGACACTACAAGATATGGCTGCCAACCGATGTCAGTGGCGTTCTTGTTGTTAGTTTCTGTCCAGATTGCCTGAGTGAATGTCTGGAGGTGTAGGCACCTCGGAATGATTGTGCTAAGCTAGCACTAAGTCCCTCCCCCATCCACCTTTATTCTTCAAAATAAGGCTTTCAAATAAGTCATGGTTGTAAGGCAGTGAAGCATTGGTGTTGAACACTGAAGTCATGCTGTCGATGATGATGATGACCTTGAGGCAGGTTCTTGAGCAGCACCATGTGTTCGGACGTCCCACGTTGGTCGCTGATCTGAAGGCTGATCATGAATGTCAATCGTCAGAAACTGGCGATGTCTGGTGGTCGAAGATGCCTCTTCCAAATTTGTATCCCTTATGAGGGCTCCGTGGGCGCGCACGAGTATACGGTCCCTCCAAGGGCTACCGTACACGAAGTGGTGTCTGAAAAGACTCGCTTTTTCCACTCCTACTTAATTTCCTGATCGACGAGATAGTGTGCTGTTCCAGTAATCTGAGCTGTAACACCCTTCCGGTTCCTAGCTGCCATGCTACCCGAAGGAAGCAAGAGGGCTGGGATACTGCCAGGTTGCCCAAGCCTAGACAGGGGAAGTCGAGAGGCAGGGGTCGGGTTCGAACCACTGATCTGCCGGTCAGCAAATTCGCGCTCTAACCACTTGGGCCATCTCGCCGTTGCTGATGATATAAACCTTGAGGAAGTGGAGCACGCGGAAGACATTGTTCTCGTCTTCAAAGAGGATGAAGATCACGTGTTTTCGGATGAACTAACCACAGCATTCCCGCAATTTGGCCTACTTTTTCACCCAAACAGTGAGTCATACTGCTAGACTCCCAGTCACTGGACACGCCATTTGAAATCCAAGGGAGCACTCGTATTTGTGGACTGTTTTATGTAGCTTAGATATTGCGTTATTTTCAATTGTAGTGTCACAGATGAGGTCAATGCGGAAATCTCCAAGGCCTGGGCCACGCTTTTTAAATTAAAACATCCACGGTGGGAGACAGGCATATCCCTGAATCTCAAAGGACGTGTGTATCAGGCTACAGTACGGGCGGCTTCGCTATGCGATTGAGACGTGACCTCTTCGAACAGCGGAAGTGAGACTTCTTCAGACCTTCAACAACAGTTGTCTCCTAGCCAAACGTGGTGTAGGTTGGTGCTGGCGAGTCCGCAAACCGTCCGTCAGAAGACGAATGTCTAGTTATGCAAAAGGGATCTCGATCGAGGTATGCGTCCAGCACCTGTGGGGTTTGGCCTGTGTATTACGTGTATCACATCATTTATTGTTAAAAATACTTTTTTTCCAGCGGCGCAAACAGAGATGTTTCACCTTGCAGAGGGGTATGAAATAGAATGCGAAGGGTATGGATGCCGCCGGTGAAACTCAACCTCCAGGATGAGGCCCGCGTGATTTTCTCTGTACATAGTTGAAGATACTGCGATGTACAACTGCTAATCTGAGACCATGGCGCTAGTGGTCGGTTTTGCCAACCGATATCAGTGGCGTTCTTGTTGTCAGTTTCTATCCAGATCGACTGAGGTCTGGAGGTATAGGCACCTCGGAATGATTGTGGTAAGCTAGCACTAAGTCCCTTCCCCGTCCACCTTTACTCTTTTCTTTACAATGAGGCTTTCAAATAAAGCATAGTTGCACAGCGGTGGAGCATCGGTGTTGAACAGTGTCATGCTGTCGATGATGAGAATGATGATAAGCGGTCAGTTTACATGCAGGGTGTCTAGAGCTGTGGTCTATATGGTGAGCCAGCACCAAATACATCCCCCATCCACTTTTATCTTTCAATTCGCAATGAGGCTGGAGACAGCTCGGTGGTTAAAGCGTGAAATTACTAACCGAAAGGTACGTCGTTAGAATTCAACCATTTTGACTTCTCCAGTCTACGTCTGGGCAACTCGAGAGTACTTCACTCCCATGATTTCTTTGGTCGTTGCAGATAAGCACTGAAATCTTGCTATACCCCAACCAACATCAATTATTAGGGCTTTGAGGCATATCATAGTCGTATGTTGGCGAAGCTGTCGATGATGAGCTAGTCACGCACCTAAACTTGATGGTGGATGACTAGCATCACCAACCGATGACTTTACTCGGAAACCTAGTGGCAAAGCGGTGGTCCACAAACTGCTGCCAAGAGTCCTTAAGGAACGAGTCGCCACACTTATTTCAACTCACCCTAAAGAGCTGAGACTGTCAAATCTCTGCCCATTGACCAGCCTGGTAGGAAACTTTAGGTTCAATATGGGAGGCCTTTCTGCTTAGCTCAGAAAGTCACGTCACGCACAATGCCACGCCGCGATCGACTTCAGGATCCTCGCGAGTCACGGATGACGCTGATGTTTAAGGCGTTCGCAGGTCCAAGTAAGACTTCCCACTGACCGAATTCTTCGTATTTCTTCCAAATGGGAAGAATCCTCGGCAGACTGAAGTTACGAGACTGTACGCCTACACAACAGCCAAGTATGTAATCTTGAAAGTAGGTTGTTCACAAGCAGGTCGAGGGTTCCAACAGCTAAGAACGCGGTGGATGAGGCTTACGTCAATCCCAGAACGGATCATATCGGATACAAAGGTTTTATATACGTATACATTATATTTTCCGGTTTACGGTCGACCTGACGTAGCCCTACCTTTCAGTTGCGCTGCACTTCTAGAACTTTAAAATGGATGTCTCTACATCTGACAACAAATAAGGACTCATAATCACTATCCTGAACTCACCTGAAGAGTTTTATTATGCCATACATTTCCAAGAGCATTCCAATGATTGGGAATCCTAGGAAGACCACAACAACACCGCAGAAGAAGCAAATGGTCCCGCGATAGCTGTCCCCTTTGAAGAAAAAACTTAATGCGCCCTTGGCACCGATAAGACATCCGAGACCGCCTAGAAATAAGATCTAATGCACATTCAGATTAAACTACAAGTCCACTTGCATTGCCAAGAGCAAGAAGAGCCGAATCAAACAAGAACAAGACGCCCAGGAAAAGAAATATACCTCCAAACCCCATGAGCCCCAGTCCAATCTCTAGAACCAGGGAATTCGTTAGAATGCTGAGTGGTTACTTTGTATGTCTGTCACAGTAGTTGTTCCGTACATGGATCACCGGGGTTCGCGGAGTACGTGGAAAGCAGGCGAGGTGGCCGCCAAATCCCAATTTGATTGTTAGCCTTGAGGGAGCATGTTCAAACTATTTAGGTTTGGTGCTGGCTCGTTCAGTTCAAGCAGTCGGTCAGAGTCACGTAGCAGAGGGGGGATCGGCGGCTGAATCCCGTTCCTCCCGCCGCAGTCGTAGGGTAGCTCTGAAAGCCCAAAATATCTATGCAGAGCCCTTCCGCGTCATCGCATCGAGGAGTTCCGCAGCTAATCACACTATACGTCCCGATGCTCAGTTACATGTAGGGTAAAACTACGAGTTCATACACAAGCTGAATAGGATTGTTGTGAAGTATTTATCCGCCTTTTGTCAAAATAAGCTATATTTAGCCCATGATCCCGAGGAAACAAGTGAATCAACTATACTAGACATCATCAGATGTATTTGAACTCAGATAAACTGCATGAGACCAGCAACCATACAATCTCAAACACGCAGATGTTTGCAGTTTGGTCGCTCCTAGCTGAACACCAACCGGCCCATTTCAAAGTTTATTCCATCAACTAGGCAGCAGCAAAATTTTGACCAAACACCTACATTTGTGGCTACAAGAATTGCGAAAAGATGGGTAAATGGGGCTTTTGGTGGAAAACAGTGTAGGCATGAAAAAACTTGGAAGAAAGTTCCTCGGTGAAGGGCGTCACATACGTGGGGAGAATTACCCAAGGAATAAGCCATGTTCATTAGATGCGATGCGGTATAACGGTATGCTAATTTCAAATGAGATCCGGACTATCATTTTCACCACCGCTTTTAATCGTGCTCTATTAAACGAGTACACGAAACTCGTCAAATCAACTGACACCGCACTGGCGAGCGCACCCAAGATGCTGGCCCCCCTTTTAGATGACTGCTCCTTGTCTGAAACTAAGATTTATGGTGAAAACTTCTATAGGAACACGGGCATCCAAAATATTCCCTCGGGGGATGTGCGTGCGGTGTCCGGTTGGTCTTCCAGTGCAAATCTGACACCCAATTCAGGCCCTGATGAGATGCAGGCCCATCTGAGCTTCCCATATTTCGTCTGTTGACAGAATGCGTTCCGTCACCTTTCACGGTAGGTTGGTGATACTAGCAAGTCTGCACCTAACGGGTAGTAGTTGGTCACTAGTTTTTAGGTTAGCACGATAATCGCTTTCTCCCGGAAAGGGGAAAGGTTGCGGTCGTCAAAGGAATGACGAAAAATCAGGTAGAAATGCTTTGAAAATATGAAAAAATTTCCTTCAGGATGCTCAGATAGGCCTCGTCTGGCTCGAACGTGCAGAACTGATTTGTCTTGTACAAAGGTTGACAAATATAGTCCTTCGTAAGAAAAAGTTTGTAAGAGCTCCTTCGTGGTTTCGCCTTGCATTTTGGGTGTGAAAAGCTCGCTGGGGTAGAATACAGTCTTGCACAGTGTTTTCTGTAGACTTCAGATGCTGATGTAGGGAGGGAGGTCGTTTGCTGTTGAGCTGTTCACCAAATATAAACAGTCACAAACATTTTGGACAGGGAAACAAACATCTCATTTCAAAAACTGAAAAACCTCGCGCGTCTTCTTGAGCCTTCCTGGGTATTCACAGACTATCACGCAGCTGTGAACGAATACTCCACCGCGGTCTCCACAAGTTCCGTAATGAACCTCGCCGTACATTGAACGCGAAGCGGAGTCACGAGAAAACCACCTACCGCTCGCTAGCCCGTCAGTAATATCTACCATTACACACCCATCTCTTTAAAGGCCGCTCGTATTTCGCCGATTTATGTTTACCTCTTTTATGTCGGCCCCAGTATCTGGTCTATTTGGCAGCTTTTCGTGTGAATCATGCCACTTCAGAAGCTGAGTCCAATTTACTATTTTTGTTCCACAACCGTCCTAAATTGTATAGACGTTCCACTAACGGTCGGTAACGACAAACGGACCTTGTCATCGACTGCTCAGCTTCCGCGACACCAGTCCACTCTTTCGAGAATTCTGATGATCCTTCCAACTGACCTTCCCGCCTATGGGTAATGGCCGCGCTATTCTATCTGTCGTCCTCTGTCTGGACATTTCCTGAACGTCCATCAAGTCTCCTCAAGCTTTCCTCCTTTCCTGTCTTATCTCCTCCGGTGACAGGCGTGTTGCCAGCCACAACCCGATTTCCTAATCAGCCTGAAGGCGCGTATGTTTCCCGTGTATCAGCATGGATAGGGACTTCTGGTGGTTGGCTGTATCAAGACACGATGCGTTAACTACACGATCAACGGGGTCATTTAATAGTCACCTGCTTTGGTCGCCAGCCGCTCATTCATCGTTCGGTTAGGCAATTAGTTTGCGTGTGTTCGGGCACCTTACTTAGTGGTCTGATGCCCGGATGCAGCAAGCAACTCCCAAACGCTTTGCTGTTAAACCAAGGCCGTTGTTTGGCTAGAATCATTTATGCCACCCAGTGGTTGGTCACGATACGATGCACTACCACTCCATTGCCTGTCGTCGCAGTTGATTTGGCACGGCCGCTGTTTGACCCACAGCAACATTATCACGATATATTGATTTCCGATGGTTGTCATAAGAAGAGAGCTTATGACTGTAGCGGACCGTAACTCACCGATTTCTGACACAGTAGTGGGTTCCGTGGGGTGCGTTGCTTCTGCCGTATCCCCTTTCATTAGCCGGCATTGCCTAGAGGAACCCCATAATCCACCACCTCACTTCTCATTCTGGGAAAGCAGGCCCTCTGTCGAAGTAAGTCGTAGTTTGGTGCGCCAGGCGCATGTCATCTCGTGGCAGTCGGCGATAAGAATCCATCTCAATACACGAAGTATCGTGAGCAGCACAACATCAGAATCGATGGCATTCCGGTAAATGGTTCCAGCTTTACTCAGATTCATCCATCAAAACGACTCCAGAACACGGGATCCTGTCATTGGAGCTGCACCAAATTTCCGGGATCCAGTTCGACGACGAGTCTGCCAGCACCAAGCATGATCAAGGGGCCTCATCGCCAACTTTTGGTGTTGACAGACAGAGGTTTTGCGACCCTTGTCCCAGGAAGTATGGCCTTCACTCATCACCCGTCCAATATGATAAACGATATCCTGAACCATTTTCTCCCGGTCCTTCGCCTTGATAGATATTTGCCAGTATCCGAGGGGCATGTCGAACACTGTGAAATGCCGGAAGTTCTGGGTAGAATCGAAAATCCCCGCAACCGAAGAACGCCTACGACCAGATTTACCGTCAGTCTAGTCAAACGCCAGAAATTCATGCCAATCGGCGTTTCCCGTTTGTCTTCTCTACAAGCACAACCAGGGGGTGGTTCGTACTGCCGGTTTCCTCGATTATGACATTTTCAACATCTTTCAAACATGCTTATGCACCTCCTCTCTTAGACGAGGCGGCAGGGGACGGGGGTGGGAAGGTCGGAAGCATTCAAACGAGAGGAGAATTTTGTGTTCAAGCCACGAGCAGGAGCCAAATGTACCTTCACTCGCGGCAGCTTTTGGGTAAACTTCAAGCTTGACTGCGCCGTGGGTTGTCAGCAGCTTTTCCCGCTTTGTGTTAACCACGGATTATTCGCCCCTGAGAAGACCCGCTCTCGAGAATATCTGCGGTGTATAAAGGCTGATCATGAACTGGTTTTGCACGGACCCGGTTCCCAGGCCCATTGAATGCTTTGTTGCTCCGTAAATTCTCAGGTGCTATCTACCCACCGCTCTCACGGCTAGCGCGCACGGTTAGCATTTGGCCTGATTCGCTCTCCGCCTCAGCGATACCCTTGCTCCATCATCGGGTAAGCACATGTCCATCTTTCCGTCTATCTCGATAACGGCCTGTATGGTAGCCTGTTTTACTGAGCTAATGGCATCCCACACGAGAAAAGTTGAGCAACCCGAAGTCCTATTATGTACATGTGGTTGGGTACGAGGGCGTCGATTCTTTTAATGGTCGGGCGTTCTGCGGCTCGTTCGGGGGTGCCTTCGCGACTTGTTTTGGTGGCTGCAGGCTACTCGGCGAGTTGGTCCTTCGTCGTTGAATCCTTCCTATTCTCCTGCAACAGCAGTGTTGCCAGTGGGGTTTCGGCCTCGTTCCGTACCAGATGCGCCAGGTGCTCCGCACTCACCTGACCGGTTGCTCCCGCCAACCGCAACTAGGCACCCAGTGCGTGGTGCGCACTTTCGACAACCTTGCCAGACAGCGACTGGCGCGACGCCCCATCCAGTCCCGGCAACGCCCGATCCAACGACTGCTGCAGGCCGGCGTAGAGCACAGTGCGGTCGTATTCGGGTCCCATTCTTGCCCTCTTGTACCACTTCATATCCTCCTGGAGGTCGACCGGTTTCTTCTGCAAGAGCTTTCTTCGCGGCTGCCCAGTCCATTTTTCGAATGCCCATTGTAGCCCCATCCAGGGCCACCTTCGCCCGGCCTCTAAGCAGGGTCCTCAGTGCCGCCAAATTTCTCAGTTCGGCCTCCATTCCAGCGGCATTTGTAAATCCACTAACTCAACCAGGAAGGTCCGCGCATACCCACCTTCAAATTATTGTGGACACAGGGTCTTCGTCCGTATCCCAGTCACGGCCCCAAATGTAAGGAAGGGAGTCCTTTGCCGCGGAGGTGTTTATTAGCAAACATCAACTAGCGAGCTACAAACTATACGACAGAAGCGTAAACGCCTCATATGCGGCATGCTTTTAAAAACTGTCCATTCTCGCGCGTCCAAATAAACTTTCGTTAGGGCGCGAAAATCATGTACCAACAAGAGGTTTGTAAAGTCGTAGCTAGAGGAGGGTCGATCAAGGGTTTTATGAGGAATAGGTTAGCTTCTCGAGCACTCGAGTTGCAACGGTAGACCACAGCGAGAAGGAGAGAAGTGGATCCACGCATCAGCATCCTAAGCAACAGTGCACCACAAAAAGGCGTAGAAGTAGTATCAGCCGGGACAATCGGGATGGACAGGACCGCATACAAGTATAAAGCAACTCTATCAGCTCTCCCTCATCCTGAGTAAGCTCGAAAAACGAAGAAGCAGTCTACGGAGATCACGGCGTTAGCGACATCTGGTATAAGCCGGGTCTCTGCGAATTCAATTATTGTGGCCTGTTTAGAGCGCACCAACTGTTTAGTATACTGAGCTTTGTTGAAAAGACTGTGGGCGTCTCTGGACAAGCATTTCAACAGTGACTATCTTGTCTTCAAAGACGGGGAGCCGAGAGGCGTGACGGCAGAGAAGTTAGCAGATTCAATAGCAAGAGGCTGGGTTTGAGTCCAAAACACAGACGGGCACCGTGCGGCATACTTGTCTGCTTCCTGATTTGAAGGATGATTTTCATTTGCAAGGTCTTTAAGCCTCTTACGATTCCGGTTTTACGGGCCTTTCACATTTGAGGGCGAATATTTTGACCACCGCTTCTCGTAGCTCTTTTATTGCCGTCCTTCGTACAACTAAGTTTGTTGTTGGTAAAGGGTTTGGGGCAAACATGAAAGCTCGGTTTTCACACAATAGAATAGACTTCTCGAGAGCTACGCCATTTCGGGTTTACTACTCAAGAGTGTGGAGTGTACATGAATAATGAATCATTATACAAATTAACTGCATTGGTGATTTGTTTCAGTGAACGAAACATCATCGACTGGGAATACGGTGCCCAGTGCAATAAGAAAAGGCGAATTGCTGAAAAGGGTAAATCACTTAAAATGGGCACAAATTTCAGATACTTTGGCAGCCGAAACTATTTGCCGAACAGCTCTGGTGGATGTGAAATATGTGAAAGTGCCATTCCTGTAAGTAAGATCTGCTCGATAATTGCTAGTACGGATTAAAATCTTGGAAGCCGCCCAAAAAAATCGTGTAAGTTTGTTGTTAAACAACGGGAGGTTTCACTTTTACTTGCGAAATATGGGAGGAAAACCATGGCGTCAATCATAGTGAGCAGCTGAACGAACCCAGCGGACCCAGGCAATCAACACGGGGCTAGGGATTCACGATGTCTAATCAACTGGCCGGAGAACGCTCGTCCATCTCTACCAGGAATAAAGTTCCCATAAGAAGACATGAGCAGCAGAATTTTA